GGTGAACATGGAAAACCGTACCCTCTTACAGAGGAAGACCATGATGATTCTGCTTATAGGGAAAATGGCTTCAACATATTTGTTAGCAACAACATAGCACTGGAGCGATCCCTGCCAGACATCCGACATCCTAAGTACGTAAATTGTTTCCTGGACTATCTGATTTTAAGTTTTTATCTTTGTATATCTCTAAATAACCTGTTTGCCCAGAAGGTCAAACATGATCCCTCAGCCAACAAAAAGTGACCATTTCATTAAACAGGAAATGGAAAATTTATCACTGTTGTTAAATCATTTGCTCTATCTGTCTTGTAAACTGACCTCTCATCTTATTAGTAACACATTAAGACTATAGAAGGCCTCTTTTAATTACAGAATGACTTTCATGGCATTTCTGGGTAGTGATTTGTTAGGCAGTGATAAATAACATTTCACATAGTTTTTTCAGGTTCTCATTCGGTAATAGCTGCAGATCTTTGGGCTGGGGGGCAGGGTGATAAGTTGCATAAGATTTTTGGCTCCACGTTTAGACCAGTGTTTCCATAATGTTTCTTTTGGTTTTGTTACATAAAAAGTGAAAGCAATCCAATAGCTACAGTTTACTACAGCTGATTTACACAGCGTAGAATTACATAAAAACAGAATGAGCAATGGTGAAATGCACATGCAGAATTGGGGGGGTGTTGAATGATGGTATTGCTCCTTGATAGCAGTAGTATCCTACAGAGGAATAGGATAAAGATTATTCTGGAAAATAACCACGGAGCTAAAAACGATCATACAGTTCTCAGCAAACATAACTTTCTTTTCATGTCCTGTAACTTTTGGCACCCTTACATGAAGAGTAAAGCTTTCTATCTGTAACAGGAAAGGGCACGTATGCCTTTCTAGGCTTTAGGCTCTAGTCCTCTAGAGTCATTCTGAGCTCTAAGGGGGGGGCGGGTGATTTGGTTTGTCTCTTTACATGGTGTTTTTCCCCTCTTTTAATTGGGTCTTATGCAATTAGTGTATGGGGGAAAGGTACAGGAGTGTGACAAAACTAATTGCCTCCATGACTAGGTTTGTATTTTCCTTCGGATACCATTCTCTTTATTATACAATGTTTCAGGTTAAGACATCTACTCACTTCTTGACCTATACAATTTTGCTGTGTGAATTAGTTTGAAATTCTTCAGGGAACTGAACAGAACTTGAGAGCTTGACAGAAGTTCTTGGTGGGTGGAAAGAGAAATATCATGGCAACTAGCACTTCTTGTTCCATCAAATGTGGAATTGTCCTTTTCAAAGAATAAACAGTGTATAAATGTTTGCGTAGTAAGATTTTAAAAAATAATTCACAATGGAGGAATTAACAAAAAAAATACTTCAAAAATAATCTTTTGTTGGAGGTGTTTCCTATTTAATTGCCATGTTGCATTCTTTTGAGAAAACTGTTTATCTGTTAATTTGTATATGAGTATTGTTTGCATAGAATTGTCAAAAGAAATCATTTTTTTAATAAGGTGTATCTTTTAGATAGTTTGTTTGCCTTCTACTTTGCCAAGTTACCTGAAACTATTTATAGAAAGAGAGCTTCCAAGAAGTTTGATTACTGACGTACAGCTGTACAGCATCAAAGCTGTGTTAAATTACATAGCTGGCATAATAAATATGCTCACCAAGCATCCTTCCCTATTAGCAAAACTGCAGAGGACAGTTACTAAATACAAAAGGAAGCTGACATGTTTATCCTCCCTTCATGTTTTTGTAAGTTGGTCTTCTGGCAATTTGTTTCTCACCCGCTCCTGTCCGCGCAGTCAATGACATTTCCCTGCGTGTCCCCAGAAGCGATGTGAACGATGTGTTGTCAGAAGTGACATATTAGGAACAAGTCAATGCTACGTCAGCCTTTCTCTGCCCCCCTTCCATCTGCACCAATCCTTTAGTGACTTTCACCTAAGTGTCTCGTATGGGAAACTTGAATCCTTAGGTATCTGGATCATTTTCATGTTCCAATTCAGCTAAGTTCCTATGGTGTTCAGTTCATAATCTTGTATGGTTGATGTTTTGGTAGTGTCCGGAGTGAACTGACTTGTGTCATGTCCTTCTAACCTTCCTTATGTTAAACACTTGTAACACAAGTAGTCCATTAGTTAATTGACTGTATCGCTTATTTTCTAAATGTAAAGATAAAAAATATTCTTGCACTACATTTGGATACTAAGTAGTACACTGATTGGAGCCCAACTTTGTCACCTTATACTTCTGATGGTTATACCTCGAAGCAAGTCTATGTCTTGAACTTCCAGGACACACAGAAGTCTGACAATGCTTTCTGACCTACTGTCGGAAACAAACCCATCTCTCAGCTGCTGTGTGTTAAATATGATGCAGGCCAGTCTCAGACCGCACTTGACTTTTGGAAATGTGTCCTTTCTTCAGAAGCATGTGTGAAATGTCAAGTAGTTCATACTTCATGAGGTTGCTTTCAGAGAAACTCATTGGAAAACTGTATAACTTCTATGCCGGAAAAGGGTGTTCTTATTGAAATAAAATTAGAGTAGGTAATTCAAGTGAGGTATAGCAGGCAAGATCTAGTTTGGTCAGCTTCTGAGTATTATAAAGAGCTTTTGCTTTGTGGAGCTTCTAAATGCCCTTCAGCTTTTTAACTATCTTCTTTTGCCTGTTTGTGTGGGATACTATTATTACAGACCTTGAGCTTTTGATCGTCTGCCCCTATTCAGTGTATATACCATTGTGCACAGGGCCTTGTCTGTACTGAAGACTAACTTCCTGAAAACGTTGTCTAGGATTTGTTTTAAAGAACCAATAGAATGGTTTTATTGCCATCAGTAGGAAAATTCACAAAACGAACCTTCAAATACAACAAAGACTGAGTGGTGAATCCTGTAATTTGGATCAAAAGGTATTTAAATTGAAAGAGCAAGAGCAGCTATAGTAGTTTCTATGTTTCTCTGAAATCGCTTAATCGAAAAAATTTTATTCCAAAATCTTCGACCAAAGAAATTAAGTCCCACTTCTAAGTGATTGGTTTTCTGGGAAGTGTGCAAAGATAGCAGATAACCAAAACTTGCTCTTTTTAATCCAAAAGAACATTCTCCTTCTTGGATTCTTTGGAAATTGGGCTCAGGATTTGCAAAATACATCTTCCTGGAGGGAGATGGGTGGAACTAAACTAATGCTTAGTTGATTGAGCTCTGAGAAATTCAGGTTTTCATTTTTTTTTCAAATAATAGTCTTGTTTTTTTTCCTTTGTGTGATATATTTAAAGCGCTTCAGCAAGATGTATTCAGATTGATTCTTCTTTCCTTTCTTAAGACACTAAAATGGGTGTGCTGTAAAAATCCCTAGAGAAACGAAACAGTTAACTTCTATTTTAAGGCTGACTTAACAGCTTCCCTGTGTCTTTAACATGTTTCTATTGCATCCCTCTAATATTTTCCATTGGGTTTTTTTCTGTCTTTCAAAGCTACACTTGAAGAATATTTTTTTTCCCATTTCTGAGTGGTCTTTGTCTTGTTTCTGTCCCACTCTCATGCAAAAGCCTTCTTGCAGTGGATGCTCTCGCCAAGTTATATTAGCTAATTCTCTGTTCTTTACCCACAATCACCCCCTGGCTTTAAGTTTAAAAAAACAAAACAAAAAAACCAAAAACCTCCCACAACACAAACAAACAAAACTTTTTCCTTTAATTCCAAATGAAAATCTAAAACAGGTTTATCATCTCAGTTCATTGGGATTTCAGGACTGATTTAGTGAAAATAAGAGTTCTGGTCACCTAAGGTAGAAGGCAACATTATGAATTTTGGATAGTATTGGGAGTTGGTAATGGAATTACTATCTAAGAGTTAGAAGTTCTGTACCAATATGAAAAATATTTCAAAATCCATGAGAAGAGTGTTTTTATTTTTACTTTCCACCTGCCCCATGCCACTTTCTGTAGTCTGGAATACAATAAACCCAATAAAGCTAGCAAAAATGCTGGCAGTATTGTTTTCTATTGTAGAGAGACAAATGCTACTTACTCTAATTATTTAATACAGCAGTTACCATTAATTCTTCTCTTTTCAACATTATTAAATATTCTGCTAATCATACCAGTTTTGTTCAAACAAACAAAACTGAATCTGATTTTAATGAGGCTTGGGGGAATGATTGCAATCATCTAGTCTCAACAGTGAATATAAATTTTGCAGTATATCCTGTTTCAAACTCCTAGGTCCTTGTAAACTAGAGCATGCAATTTTTAGCTTTTCATTCTTGAATCAAGGAATTCAAGTTAATTTCTGATACCAACAGAATTGCAAGCATTATAATTTAAAATCTTCCATGGTTTTGGTATGTTTGTATAGCTTGATTTCAACAACAGGTCTCCTTTTATCTACAATTTATAGATTATTTGTTGATAACTTGTGTAGTCACAGATCAGATGCACAAATCCTTGTTGGCTTGCCTGAATAATCTATCACAAGAAATCCCATTCTTTTTAGATTTCCATGGGCATAGATAGATTCATTTTGTACTGAAATTCTTAATGTTCATATTGTACATTAAGGATGCCCAACCTGATTTTTGTGACGTCTGGTTTTTAGCACATATGGGCTGAAGTCTGTGTTTCCAAGTGTTGACTGCTGGTCTTGCTATTGCTGTGTGAAGTGGTGGCCCTTCACTGTCACTCCAAGCAGTATTCCTTTTCAGAAGTCTGAGCTATGCTTCATTTTTTTACACATTAAACTTTTCCCAGGCTTCAGAAGAAATGCATTTTCATATTCAAAGAAATACAGGTGTTTAGCTAAAGGCTGTGAGATCTTCGGTGTCCTGAACACTAATGAGATTTTCTTTCTTTTTAATAATAAAAAAAGCAAATTTCACTCTACCTGTTCTGCATAACTGAAACTCTCCAACTCTCCCTCCTTATCAGTAGCAGAAGCTGAGAGAATGCCTGAACGGTTCTCTCTCAAAATATTTGAATGTAGTGTGGTTGCTGTCCCTTGTATTTTTAAAAGAGGCTAAAATGAATATGCAGTAGGATTTCTTGGGGGTGGGGTTGTGTGGTGGTGTTTGGTTTTTGTTTGGCTGTATCTTTTTCTGTCTTTGGAATAGTTGCGGAGTTACTGTTAATCATTAGTTATGT